GTGGCTCCTCCGGCCGTGGCTCCTCCGGCCGTGGCTCCTCCGGCCGTGGCTCCAGGGCTCCGCTCGGCGGCTCCGCCGGGCTCCTACTGCTCTCTGCCGCCCCGGCCGGGCCCCCGCCGCCCGGCGTGGGACGGGATGGTGCCCGCTCCCGGCCGGTGCCCCCGGGGCCAGGGCGGTTCGGGGAGCCCGGACACCGGCCTTGCTCTCCCCACCTCGGCGGGCCCCCCCCAACCCCCACGGGCTGTGCCGGGCAGAGTTGCCACCTCTGGGGGTCCTGGCCCCGGCACCACTCCCCCTCCGTGACTCGCCCCGCTGAGGGGGAGGAGAGGCCTACGTGGTGTGGGCTGCGCTCGGGCAGGGGCTGCCAACATCCCACCCGAGGGTGGCACGGCCTCGGTGTCCCCCAGCGCATCCCTGAGCCGGGGCCACCTCAGGCCCCTCAGCCACAGGCGCATCTGGCCGCAGCATCGCCCGTGGCCGCCGGCCAGGGAAAAGGATGTTTAGGGGATGAGTAACATCCTTCCTGGCAGGGCCGCTGCCCGCTCCTGGAAGCTGCTGCAGACACAGAGGAGCTCAGCCCCTTTGCCCGTCTCTTGCCCCACTTAGCCGGTGAAAAAAGCAAAGAGCGGGAAGAAACCTGGGGATGGGGCCAGGGCAGCCGAAGCCCATGGAATCGACAGGAGTGCCAGGTGCCAGGGAGAAGGGAGGGAGGATGCTGCGTGGCATGGTGAGAGGCAGCCAGGAGGCACAGGTTGGGGGAGGCAGCTACAGGCCCCCTCTGGAGCAGGGCTGGAAGCCAGAGCCTGGCTGAGTGCTGCCAGAAGCAGCTTATTTTGGAAAGCAGGCATCTTGGCAGAGCACTTGGTGTGTGGAGCTGCTGACGCTGGGGAGCAGGACGGCTGTCTCATCAGGTCCCAGCCATGCCTCGCAGGCTAACGCTGCTTGGCTTCAGCCCTCAGCTGAATCTGCCCCAGCACAACCAGGACTGGATCCCCAACTCCTGAGTCACCCATTGCAAAGGGGTTTGGACGTCCCAGTCACAAACTGTCACAATGCCCAGGACCACAACTCACCCTGAACACCAGAGGGACTGCCTGAGACTCACCAAGCAGGATGACAGAGCTCTCACTAGCTCTGACCCATGGGACCAAGTACAAGCTCAAGCCTTGAACAGAGAAAGAGAGGTACATGGGCTTAACCCCACACCTGGATGCTGCTTCCCCTCTCCTCAGCTCTCAGGAGCAGTACCAGCCCCGCAGGAGCCCAGTCTCTCCCACTGCTCAGACTGAGGGACTCGAGGCAGTGGGGTCCAGCCCAGATCTGGAACAGCACTGGCAGGGTGCAGTGGCATTCAGCCATGACCAGGGCTAGCAAGGGCTGGAGGGAACTCAGACTTCACAGCCAGAAACTGGACTTGCTTTGTCTCCCTCAGTGCCCTGCTGGCACCCATGGTGCTGAGGAGCCAGCACAGGCCCTCCCTGCCCCTGTCCTTCCAGAGCGGGGCCAGGAAGCACACCTGGAGCAGGCTGCAGTTAACAGCCCCTTGCTGTGCCTGGACATGGCTCAGGAGCTTCCACCAACTGCAGGTTATGTGTGGCTTGGCATGCTCCGAGTTTGGTCAGGTCTCAGCCCATCCCACAGCGGGACCCAGCTGTGAGCAGGCAGGCAGCCTCATCCGCCTGGGGACGGAGCAACCAAGCTCCCAACACGAAGCAGCTGGCCCTGCCCTTCGGAGCCACACACTGCAGCATTGTGGCCCAGCTGGTTTTTCCAGAGATGCATCCAAGGGGAGAAATCAGATCTCAAGGGAAGGGAGCAGGCCTGTTCCTGACTGCACAGAGGAGCTGTCGAGGCAGTGCCAGGAACTGGGGTAGTTGCTGGGCACCACAGCAGCCCAAACGCAAACTAAGCAGGCAGCTCAAAAACCTGGGCTGTACCTCACTGCCCAACTCCAGGAGCTGCTGAGCCTTTGTAGATCTTTGTTTGTAAACTCTGTGGCAGAGCTGCCCTGCCCTGGCACTTCCTCCAGCTTTGTTTTACACCATCAGATATTAAACAACTGGCCCCGAGGGCTGGGATGGGGGAAGGACCCTGCTGGGGAGCAGGGAAGGACTTTTGGAAGGAAAGCTGTTGGAGGAAAACAGAAAAGCAATGTTGGGGAAAGGGAGTTCCCTCCACACAGGGAGGGTGTTTTTGGTCAGGGCTTGTCTAGACTGGAGTCACCCACACTGCGCAAGCACATCGACACCATGCAGTCAGTATGGGGCTCCCTACTGTTCCCAACAGGACAGACAGGCTGCACTCAACGAGGGTAGGCAAGAGCCAACCCCAGGGCTGGTCATCCCAACCCCAAAGGGACTGGGTAGACCCTGAGGCTTCCAGGGTGCTGCTTCCCGGTGTCCCCTATTGCTTCCCAACAGTCAGAGGGTCCTATGCCCACCAGCTCCCCAGCCTGGCCCTGTCACCTGTCCCCACCACAATCCTTGGACAGTAGAGGGACATGGGGCAGCTGCGCCAAGGCTCTTGGCTCCCTGCCTTCCCTCAGCTCTGGCTGCAGGAGCTGCAGGCACAAAATATCACTTTTTCCAAGAGCCTTTCCCTGCCTTCCCTCCTCCCTTGCAAGCAGAGCCATGTTTCTGGGGAGCAGAGGAGGTTCCTCGGTCAGGGCAAAGGCAGTGCCAGGACAGACCTGGCAGGGATGGGTCTTGGAGCCACTTGTTGGCTGCGTCTCTTCTCACCTCTCAGAGGGGCTGCCTGGCTGAAGCACAACCCCCCTGAATGCAATCCATCACAGGCATAGCATGGGCAAGGAGCACCTGGCCCTGGGAGGCTGCTGCTCCCATCAGCCCTGGTCAAGCCCACCTTTCACAGCACAAGTGGGAGAGGGGCTTAGTGGCCCTGACAGCCACCACCACCCTCCAGCAAACCTACAGCCAAAGAGGGGCTTCAGACACCTTTCCCTTGGACAAGAAAACCCTGAACACCTAAGCTCATCCTCCAAGGCCAAGAACATCCATGGAGTAAGAGAACAAGCTTGACACAGACATTCTTTAAGGATGATCTAATTATGAACATTTTTATAAAAACACATCATAATGAAAATGCATGAATTTTAAAGAGAGACCCACAGCACTCCAGTGCTGGAGGCAGCTGCGTGTCTGCAATGGGACTGCTCCATACCCATTGCCCCCCCCTTCCTGTATTCAGCTCCACATCCCCATTTATTTTCCTTTACCACAGAAAGTGTCTCCCTAGTTCCCCACACACCCTAAAGCATCAGCTGAAGCTGCAGGAGCGACAAAGGCCGGAGCAACCCCTTGCCCAAGCCAGGCATGAAGCAGGCAGGGGGCAAACAGCCCTCACACCCAGGACTGCAGCGTCAGGCACTGCCAGAGAAGAGCCTGCCCAGGCACCCACTGCTCGCACCAGCTGCTGGTGGGCAGGACTGCTCTTGAAGGTAACCAATGGAACAAAGAAAAGCTCTGGATTGCTTTAATCCTTTCCAAAAAAGTATAGCTAGCCCAGCAGTTGTCCTCCTCTCTCTGTGCCTGTGAGGATTTGTACTCAGAAGGCTGGATAATTTGACAGGGACAACACACACTCAGCACAGGCAAACTCAGACTTGCCAAGGAGTTTGCTCTTCGCTCAGTGTGCTTTGCCAGCCCAATAAATCCATCCCCACGTGCCACCCTCCCCTCCCTCCCCTTCCTCCACGTGGAGGGCTGGGACAGCAGCTTTGGAGCATGACTCAGATGCACAGGGGTTGAGGACATCCCCTTCCCACAGGCAGGGCACTGGCATCACCAGGTACCGGCAAGCACAGCAGCACTACGGGCATGGGGAGCTGGGCACCACAGCACTGTGGGAGCATGAACAGGCAGGGCTGTCCCACTGGCACCTGTGGCAGCCAGAGGCACCAGAGCCACGGAGCCAACAGTTAATATAGAGCCAGCATCCCCATCCCTGAGCCAGGAGCAGAGCACGGCAAGGGGCAGGTCTGCAGTCCGGCGCGGGCCGTGCGCGGCTCACGGGGCGCCGCGGTAGCTGTAGTGATTGTGGTCGGGGTCGCTCAGGGTGAGCGGCAGGCTGGGCTTGCGCTCTGGGTCCTTCTCCTCACACTGCCGTGGGGGACGGTGCTTGAAGAAGTCAGAGACGTAGCGGACCTGAAAAAGACCAACAGGAAGGTTTGGGGACCCCTCTGTCAGCCGAGCAGGAACCTGGTCAAGCAGCAGGTTGCACAGGGGACACTCACAATGAGGACGGCAATGAGAGCCCCTTGGAGCAGCCCCACCAGCACGTCGCTCCAGTGGTGCTTGTAGTCGGACACCCTGGTGTAGCCCACATAGATGGCGAAGGTGATGAGGAAGAACTGGATGGTGGGGCGCAGCAGCCGGGCCCACTTTCCCACCAGCCGGGCTTGCACATAGAGCTGGAGAGCAAAGATGGGAGCAATCACCCAGAGCAGGGGGCAACAACTACCCTGATAATGGAGTGCTTGGGGCACGGGACCTGTGGGGGCTGGCTGCCTTCCGGTGGCACGGCACTTACCGCCAAGAACATCATGCAGTACATCCCAAAGGAGGAGTGTCCCGAGTAGAAGGACAGTCTGTGGGGCAAAAGGAATGGGTCAGGTCATGAGAACAAGCCCTTAGCCAGCCCCCACAAGCCCCCTAGCCACTCCACAGGCTCTGCCATGCAGCAGGAGAGCATCAATACCCATCTGGGGCTGCCACTGGGAGCCCAGCGTTGCTTGGCAGAGGGAGGAGACGAGGTCCTGTGGCCTGACAGCTCACCTGGACTCGGTGATGTTCCTGCTCTCTCCCTGGCAGACATTCTCCAGCTGCACATAGATGGAGCAGTTCACCTTGGACCAGTCAGGATTGCAGACAGCCAGGAAGTTTGGCCGGAGACGGCCGATCATGTATTTGGCCAGATCAGTCAGGGACTGGCTGATGGCCCCCCCAAAGAGAAAGGTCCCCACCACCTTGTAGAGGGCAGCCAGGTAGTTGTTGAACTCTGACTTGGAGTAGAGGCGCTCAGTGTAGACCAGGTATGCCTCCCCCGATGAGATCTGCAGAGACCAGGGGGCAAGGGGTGAGGTTTGAGCACTACTGAGTAGCTCCCCAGAACCAGGGCTGCAGGATGCTCTGGCTCTTGGCTCTGTGGCAGAGGAGCCCCTGGCATCTGCCTGCCACAAGAGCTCATGGACCCTCTCCCTGTCCCTGCAGGGAACCAGCTCTACAGGACGTGGGTCTCACCACCCCAGTGGGAGCTCCTGACCCCCAGCAGAGCAGCGCTTAAGCTGAGGGTGCTGTTGCCCTGCCAGGGCTCTGGAGGTGGCTGTGCTGGGCCCCAGCTTCCAGATACGTCAGGATGTCCCTGCCCTGGAGAGAAGGGGGTGGCACATCCTTACAATGAGAACAGTGCAGGTGATCGTGACCCCAGCCATGAGACCGTGGGTGATGGTGTCTGCCTTGTAGGGGTAGCGGATGGAATCATCACTGCAGTAGAAGCCTCGCTTGTACGGGGAGTTCACCAGTGTCAGGATGATGAAGGGCAGAGATGCTGCAAGGCAGAGAGAGGTGAAGACTGGGGACGCCAGCCAGCAGGCTCCACACCGGCACGCAGCACCGTGTGGTCTCCCCATCTCTCGTCCCTGGGGCTCTGCTCCCCGATGCCGGGGAGGAATCCCCTCCAGGGATGAAGTCCTGAGCCACCTGTACCCCGGGCAGGAGGACTTGAACCCGCCGTACTGGCCCCGACACCGATAGGGCCCTATCAAGAGCTTGCAGATGCCTGCAGCGCCCAGATACCACGTGAGACAGCCACAACTGGGCACCTGCAGAGCCCCCACGGCTGTCCCACTCCTCCCCAGGCACAACTGTGGCAAGGCTTGATCTTGTGCCTTTTCCTCATGCTCCCCAGAGTCTTTCAGCCTAGGAAGACAGACCTCATTAAAATTAATGAGCACAGGCATCTTGCAAAACTGTTTTACAGCAGCAAAGGGCCCCCAGATGGTCCCAGCAGAACCCTCACAGCAGGCCCAGGAGAGCTGGTGCTGGGCAATGCTGGTGGGTGATCCAGCCCAGCTTGGCTTGTCCCTCTCACCTTCCCACAGCCCTTGCTCCTACCAGCCTCTTCACTCCCCTGCCTCCTCGAGGCTCTTGAGAGATGCTGCGCTGGCTACGTCAGTTTGGGAAAGGAGGCTTTTCCACCCAGCGTGCTGCAATCCTGGCCATGGGCAGCTACGAGCTCACCCGGGAAAGAATCATCCCCAGAGGTCCAGAGGAGTTTGCGGGTCTCTGCCCCGCGCAGTAGCCGTGCCAGCCCCTCGCTGGAAGGCGGTCCCCTGCCCCATCCCTGCCCAGGAACAGTCAAGGACGGGCTGGGCGCCCCCCCCGAGGGTCTCAGAGTGCTCCCCCCGGCCCCGCAGGCCACCTTAGGCCAGTCTCCTCTCCCTGTTCCGCCTTTCCCGGCGGTTTCCGTCTCCTCTTGTTCCTCCGTCTCCTGGGAACCCGCACCTTTGTCCCCGCCCGCCCCCGCCTCCTCGCTCCCGCCCCGGGGGTCCCGCCGCCTCCTGCGCTCACCGAGAGAGGGGGGAGCACGGCGAGGAAGCACCAGGGAGCTGCCCCGCCGCCCCCGCCGCGCTGCCGGGAACCGGCGCCGGTCCCTCCCGGCCCCGCCGCCGCCTCCCCGCACACCTCAGACGTCCATTTTCAGCTCAAATTAGACACCAATTTTCTTTCTGGAAAATTTCATCCTCCAAAAAAAGCTCCCCTAAAAATATAAAGCACCGGCCCACAGGAGGGAAACGCGCCTCGAGCGGCACCGGGACTCGCCCCCCCCCCCCGCCCCCCCGCCGGGGGCCGCAGCCCGGGAAGCTCCGGGCCTTTATTTTTAATCCGTCTTAATTCAGTGCTTCCCTGCAGTTTCAGAAACGAGCATTTGCCCGCACCGGGTGCTGGGGGACGTCCTGGAAGAGGCCCCCTGAACCCACCCGTCCGGGGCTGCGGAGCCCCGGCCCCGCTCCGTCCGCCCGTGGAGCGCCGGGCAGGCGGCCAGGGCGGCGGCGGCGGAGGAAGCGTCCCGGTGCCGCCCGAGCAGCGGGACTCCATCGTTGCCTCCCGGCCTGGGGCGGACCGTAGCCCCCAGGGGGGCGCTCGGCCAACGGGGTCGCCCCGGGAACCGGGACTCCCGACGGAGCCCGGTAGCGCTGGGGCAGGAGCCGGCGCTCGCCCGGCCCCGCCTGTGGCTCCTGGGGGAGGCCCGGAGCCCCGGGACAGCGGCCGGGCAGGTGCCTCCCGCCCTGCCCCCGGACCGGCGGCACCGGCCACGGGCCGGAGCGGGCGGAGGCGCGGCGGGATCCCGGACCCCCTGTACCTCCCGCGGATCTGACCCCAGCCCGCGGCGCGACCCCACCGAAGGCACGGGCGGGACGCGGTGACGCTCCGGAGTCGCCCACGGCGGGGGTACCGGTACCGAGCCCTCACCGACCGCCAGGCAGAGTACGTCGAGCGCCACGAAGACCTTCCTGCGCTCCATCCCGCAGCCGGTGAGGCCCCGCGGCCCGGCCCCGCGGCTCACATGGCCCGGAACGACGCGGGCCCGGCCGGGAGGTAAAGTCCGGGCTGGCGGGGCGGGGCGGCAGCCGGTGCCTCCGCCCGGGGCCGGGCCGGGGCGGGGCGGGAGCGCCGGGGCCGGGACCGGGGCAGGTGTGGGGCGCGGCGGGAACCCCTCTGGACCTAGACTCTCCTCGCCCCTCGCCGCTTCCTTGGGCCCCGCTCCGGCGTCCTCGGCTCCGGCCCTCTCGAGTCCCCCGGTGCCCGCCCCGCCTGCCTGGTCTCCCCGCCTTGGCTCGGCTGCCTCCCCTCGCTGCGTCAAGGGAAAAGGGGAGAAGGAAGGGAGAGAGGCCGCTTTGGGAGCCGCCTGTGCCCCAATCGCCTCGGGCCTATGTCCTGAGGGGGAAAAAAAAACGGAGAAAAAAAGGAAAATCCAAGAATGGCAGAACGTGGCCTCCAAAACGTTCTGCCTGCACCGGCAGGGACGGCGAGGGCTTGAGCAGAGCAGATGTGGGGCTGACTCGGTGTCGAGAGCGGTTGTTGAGGGGAAGGAGGGGCTCCCAGGAGCCTGTGGACCGAGCAAAGAGGCCGGTGGGAGCACAGAGGATGAGACAGGAGCTATGATTTACCTGCCGAGATATGGGGCTGTATTTCCTGAGCCTCAGACGTCCTGGGAGCAGGACAGGCTTCCAGTGCTGCCCTTTGGGGCTGGGGACGTGCTGAGCCGGTGGAACTCAGAGCAGGGACAGGAGCAGAGGTTGGAGCAACGGCTCCTACATCAATTCCCTGGTGGGAGCAGGGACAGTCGCATCCTGGCTGTTTGTTCCAGGCCCGAAGCCTGGTTAGGAATGGAAGGAAATGTAAATAATGCAGAAACCACCCAAATGATAGCTGCGGGGCTGGATGATTGAAGTGCAGTGTGAGTGGCCTGTGGAGAATGTCAAGGCTGTTTGTGGGGAAGCTGTCAGAGCTGGAAACACTCTGGGGCTGCCCTGGGGAGAGAGGCAGAATCACAGGCCAGCTTTCCTCTGCTCCAACCCACCCTGATGTGGCCCAGTGCAGCTCCCTCCTGCCTGTCAGTGCCATGGGGGCCCTGGCACAGCACTGGGGCAGGACTTGCCACACACATGCTGCCTGCAGACCTCAACCAAGCAGGTGAGAGCCCCGAGGCAGGAGAGCTGGGGAGATGCTGCAGGAGTGAGGAAGGCTGGAGCCCGTGGGACGCCCAGGTTGCGTCATGGAGGGGATGTGGGCATTAACACAGTCTGTCTCACCACTGATAAATCCCCCCTTCTCATCGCAGCCCTCAGCAGTCCTGCTGAGCCACCCTCGTGGCTGCCGTGGGAACACAGATGTGGCAGTGTGGGGCTCCGAGGGCAGGGCAGGGACCCCCGCTGCAGGCACACGACCCCGCGCTGGGGCGGGCAGGGGGAGCGCGACACGGCAGCGGCGCGGGCACTGCGGGACTTTGCCCCACGCGGGCCCGTGGCTGCCGGGCGGTGCTGGGGCGACAGGAGCCTCCCGGGAACGGCCCAACCCCGCGCTCGGGGGTGTCATAGGGGCGGAAAGCGGCGGCCCCGAGGGTTGGGGGGTCCCGGCCGCCCCGGGCGCGGATACCGGGGGGTACGGGGGGCCCCGGCGCGGGGCTCTGGCTCCCTCTGCCGTCCGAGCGCTGCGGCCGCAGAGCCCGCCCGGGACCCTCCCCCGGGGCCTGGTGGGGCTGCAGAGCCCGGGGTCTCCGGCCCTGCGGCTCTCACACCCTCGGGTCACACAGGGCCGAAAACAGCATTTCATTTCGAAGGATGCAACGAGGTGACCACGGCCACACATGAGGGCTTCAAGCACACCCATCCTTCCTGCTGCACCCCGGGGCCTCAAAGGAAGCAGGAAACCTGCTCCTGTCCCCTGTGCCCACCCTCGTACCTACCTCTGCAGGGGAGAGCCACGGGGCTGCATGGCCAGAGCCCCTCAAGGCCCCAGGACAGAAGGCCAGAGCCAGGCATAAGCAGGAGAACAGAATTTAAAGAGTTTTCGATGGGACAGAGGGGCTTTGTGGTGGGGAAACACAATGCAGTTGCAGCAGGAACCCCCAGGATGCTTTTCCTGGCTGAAGTGGTGAGACATGGATGGATCCCTGCCTCCCACCACCACGGGCCTGCCACAGGCTGATGGGTTCAGAGAACTTGGGGCACCTGTAAGAGCAACAAACAGCTCCCTCTACCCACAGTGCCAGGGGGCAAAACTCAGCCAGGGATGCTGGGTGTCCTCCCAGGCTGGGATGGCATCCCTGGCACAGGGCATCCCACCCTGCCTGCAGGGCAGGACAGATCAGACAGCGGAGGCAGAGACCCTTCTTGCTTCTGCCATCATGACACGTGGGACTGTTGCATCTTGGTCTACAAAAAGAAGACAGGCTTCTTACTCACTTTCAAATTAGGTTTTTAATTAAATAAATAACAGCGAGGGGTCTTCAAGGCAGTGTCACTTCACAGTGTAGGGCTGGGGGGCAAGGGAGAAGAGTCCAGCATTGGGCGGCTCAAAGTGAATGTGCTTTGTAAGAAGGAAAAAGAAAATCCCAACAAAAACCAAAACCAAACCTCCCCCCTCAGTGACTCCCCCTTCCCTGTCCCAGCCTTTTCCACCCCTCTGCCTCAAAGTTATGTGGATAAAGCCCACACTCGTGTTGAAAGACCCCATGCAAATTTGTAAACAACACTGAAAGACATAAAGAGATTTCTGCCTTCCCCAGCTCCTGTCTCCTTTCATTAGGGCTTGAAACAAACCAAAGAAAAAATGGTTTCAGAAAAACTAAGAATGTTCTCAACTGATGGAGGAGATGCCAAGGCCTGGCCCTCCCTGGGAGGGCTACCCATACTCTCACCCTGCCTCTTCTCCCTTCAGCCAAGGAGATTCCTCTTGTCCCCAGGAAAGGGGAATCACAGCCTGGGCAGTTCCACTGTGGAGCAGGCACTGGGAGCAGCTGGAGGGGAGGCCTCTGCCAACCACATTTGGCTGACAAAATGGTACCAGGTGAAGGCAGCTGCTTGTGCCTGAGGCTCAGCACCTCCCAGCAGTGCTGGGGACCAAAGCAAACCCCTGCTAATGCACACAGAACAGATTTGGGGCTTAGGAGATGAGACAAGGTCTAATCCTGCCATCCCGTGAGGCTGCTTCATCCTGCCTCTGTGCCCCACCTGCGGGGCTGAGCACAACTTCCCAGGGTCAGGTAAAAGGAGGATGCAGGCTTGTGGGTTTAGGTACCTGTCAAATCCACTGGCAGCAAAGTGCACAGTCAAAGCCCCAAGGCCTCTACCAAAGCAAGCAAAAGCCCTCAACCCAAGCCCCCTCCCAACTGCAGAACACGGCTGGAGGAAGGGACCATCTGCACGAGGGCCTTGCTCAGCAGGTGAGGGGAGAGCATTCTCTGCATGGAAAAAGGGGAATGAGAACACGTTGGATTTAAGCCAGTGGCAAACACCAGACCTGGAACACATGTGGGAAGCAAAGCAGCTCTGGACCCCAGCACACCCATGGACAGGCCCCCGTGGCTCTGCACGGCAGGCAGTACCTCCTCACCACACAGGGCTACCTGTCACCTCCCTGAGCATGGCACTAAAGACACACTTTCCTCTCAGAAAACAGTCTGCTTTGTGAGGGAGGGGCAGGGATGCCCAGGGTTGGGTGTGCTCCCCTGCCTGAGACTGAGCTAGCACCAGTGTCCCAGGCTTTGCACTCTGGGAGCTAAGTAACCTCATCCCTCTGCTGACAAATTGTTGGAACAAACTGGGAAGTTACAGAAGTTTTAATTTGCATTTTACCCTCTTGCACTGTGAGCAGGTGAGGATCAGGTCATTCCCCACCAGCAGCAGAAGTGGCAGCATCACAGTGCTCTGGGCCAGCATCACTCTGTGGCTCTAGAAACTCATATTTCTGCCCATACCAATTCTCCCTGGGCCAGCACTGCGTAGGAAGGTGAGAAGGACTCAAGTGCACACAACGCTGCTGCACCACACAGCATCCCCCTTCCAAGACCTGACGCCTCAGCCCAAGGGTTGGACCAGGCCATGACCCACCTGCAGCTGGTGGACAGCGGGCACCAGGAACACAGAGCTGCCTGAGGCTGGAAGCAGCAGTGTTTCTGCCTGTCATGATCCAGAGCTGTTGGGAGAAGACTGCAGTAAGTGACTCCTACTGCAACACACTGCCTGTGGGAGAAGGGCCAAGACACTCCTCAGCTTCCCTTGGCATTGCCATGCCCGTCTCTGCAGTGAACTGCCCTGCGGCCTGGGCAGGCTGTGCTTCCTGCAGACCTCCCGAGCTCTCGGACCCCTGAACTGCATCCTCAACATAACAGAGACACAGCCCTGTTCTCAAAGCATTTCTGCCCTCAGACTGTCCCACTGGGGCCAAGGGACACTTCCCCTGTCCTGAGGCAGGGACTCTCTGAGCAGCCTGGCGTCACCTGGGGTGATACGTGGTCAACAGAAGAGGGGGTGATGGACCTCCCCCCCCAGGAAAGCCAGCCATCACTCTGCGTGATTGCGTCAGGATACACTGGAGCAGAAAGGTGTTTGGTTTCACTGTAGCCTTGGATCAAGGAGGATGGAAAGACGGATTCTGACCAACAGCTCCAAACTGTCCCTACAGGACAGTGGAAGTTCCAGGATTTCACTCAGTCAGGTCAAAGTCCTTGCTGGGTCTGTGACAAATTTGTGACTGGAGACTTTCACTGTGACAGAGGCTCTGACTGAGCCACAGGTGCCGGGCAAGCCTGATGAGCAGTCAGGAAACTATTTACATCTCCGATGCCAATGAGACCAAAATCTGTGACCGATAAGGACACTTGCGCAGGGGCCACCACTGCCTCTGGGTCTCTGTCCAAATCCACAGGGCCGGCAATTAAAGGCAACCCCTCGTTAATGTCTGCAGGGAGAGTGAAGTCCATAGTTATCGTCTCACCAGAGCTCTGCAAAGTCTCCTGCTTCTCTGACAGTCCTGGTCCTGCCGGCGGCAAAGCAAAGAGCTCCGGCTCGGAGTGGGGGACAGTGTGTCGTTGGCAGGACGCTGGCACAGCGCCTGAGGACGTCTCCTCCGTGGGGTCAAAGGAGCAATTCGTCTCTGAGGGGGTGCTGCACTCGTAGCCCTGCCCTGACTCGCTGATGCTGCCCAGGCTGCAGGCCGTGCTCTCCACGCTCAGGGGCTCTGCACCACAGAGGAGGAAAGAGGACACAGCAAGGGAAAGAGAGCTACAATGAGTCCGTAATGCACAAACACCCGGGTCAACCCCAGCTAATCACAACAGTATTTGTTTGATGAAACAAATGTTTCTTTATTATAGCAATCAAGATCCCTGCCAGCATGTACCAAAGAAAGGCAAGATGCCGACTACAGATGGGAGGCCATCAGTGTTTCTATGGAAATTAAAGGAAACCTCACAGACACATTCCAAGATAAGCCAAATCCTAAATCCTATCCCCTCATGCCAACAACTCCTGGGAGCTGCCCACACAAAGCCTTCATCTGCAGTAGGACAGTGAGGGAACGAACCCACATCGGGTTCCCTGTGAGTCTTCTCACAGCCAGCTCTGTCTGAAAGCAGCTTGCACCCACAGCCCAACTTCTGGGGCCTTAACCCAGTCTCTGGAGGAGCTGCTTGTGTCAGTGCACTGGAAGCACCTTGCTCAGATGCCCAAAGTTAGTGTATAATTCTTTTGCTTTGGGAATGACCTAGGCCACCCCTCTGAGCCCAACACAGGAACGACTGTTTTATAGTCACCCCTGGTCAATGCAGAGACAGACAAGACTCTTCTGCTCACACCAAAACCTGCACAGGCTGGTATTTAATAGGGGGCAAGGTGAGCACACCAGCAAGGTGCAGGGAGAAGAGCAACAGTAGGATAATGGCAGCAGGAGAAAGGCAAAGGAGGGGCTGTGCCACTGACTGTGGGAGACAAGTGATCCCCATGGCAGATAGAACAAAAGGAAGTTACCTGTGCTCTCTATTGCTATCTGATCTTGACCAAAGTGAGCATTCAGGCAGCCAGTTGCAGAGGGAATTGGTGGGGAGCTCCGGGAACGACTGGTGTTTTCTACTTCAACTCCATCCAGGTCATTGTCAGTGAAATCTCTGTGGGGAAAGAGAGAGAGCCTTGCCACCACCTTCTAAGCAGAGAAGTGCAGGCAGGAAAAAGGGTGACTGGGATTAAAACCTATCAACAAAAGCAACGGGACTGTAGAGACATCACTAGAATGAATGTCCATCCCTTCTTGGTCTGCAGAGCCCAGTTTAGACTCTGCCCCGAGGAGCTGATGGCAGCATGGCCAAGACCAGCCCATGATAAATCAGAACAGGCTCTCTAGTTTCCTGGAGAGCTCTGTCCCCAGTTTTTCCAAAGGGAAATAAATGGTCAAATGCCCAGGAACATCCAGTTTCATGGAATGACTGCAGTGGGTCCGTAGTGTGTCAGCAAAGAGCAAGTGATGAGAACATATTTTCCTACCGTGGAAGAATTTAAGGTTTCAGGTATTTTCCTCTCTTGCATCAGAATTTTAAAAAAATCTAAGCCTTCATCTAATGTTTTTAATTGATTCAGCTTCAATATTTCATTTTGACCTTTTAAGACATTTCACTTTCAACCTTTTTGAAAAGATGTATTTTGAAAAGTATCTTCTGTAATTAGCATACATTTCAAAGGGAAGAATTTGCCTCAAAGGGCGACAGCAGGGAAATTAATTCAGATTCCAAACCATCAGAAATAGTGGGTTTGAATTTAAAAAGCTCCCTTCCCAAAACCTCATCAAACTGAGTTCTTTCCTTGAAATCAGCTATGAATCCCTGACCCCAGCCTTAACTTTTGTGGATGCATTTGTCTGAAACAAAACTATTTTTAACACAAGAAAGTATACATCCAAGCAGTGATTTCTTTATCTTCCCTCCCCACACCAACAGTGTTTGTGTTCTGAGAACATCCCGTGCATCCCTCCATCCTCCCACCCAAGAAACCTTCTAGAGAAGAAGGCGCAGTCTATTGAGCGGAGGTGCTTTGCAGCAGGAATCTTCACTGGGAGGTTAATATTACTAATTTTAGTGTGAGAATATTCCACGCACGTGGCTCCAGGGTGGAGGACGTACTTCTTCCTTCCTAAACGAGTCTGCTGAGTGAAGTAGTCATAGCGCTCTGATTTTTTCCACATATAATAATACTCCACACACTCGCCCACTGACCGGGTGCGGACCTGAGGAGAAACATCCCAGTCAGAACACCACGCATCGAGGTGTATCTCATGGAGCAGGAGCTATTTTCCCATTTAACCAGCACAGAAAATTAGGTGCATTACAGAAATTTATATTGCTATGGACACATCTATGCTGCAGAACAGAAGCACGTACTGAGATTTCCGAGGTGGCGATCGGCCAGAGAAAGAACTCCCCACAGTGCACAGCTGTTCTCACAGACCCGTGTGGGCCAGACATGTACACTCGTGCAGGACTTCCCTGCACTTCCAGCAGCAGCACACTTAGCAGAGAGAGCAAACCTGCATCCATTTTCACTGGCCAGCATCAACATGCCCACAATTAACCAGTGGTAGAACTGGACTCTCTGGTTCTGCCAACTCCCAGCACAGCAGCATGTCCCGTGGCCCAGCTCTCCCTACAACAGCATCTGCCATTCTAGAGGACCCCAGGGGACTTTACAAAACATCCACATGCTCAACTCACTCATTCACAGAAGTACTGCAAGGGCTGAGAGTTTGGAAAGAACTTTTGAGACTCCAGAAAGGGCTAATCAGTAATTAACTGACATCACTCATGCAGGTCAGTGGTGTTTGTGACTTCTCCCACCTGGAAAATAAGGCAGAGCAGGGCAGTGAACAGCCCATCACCTGCTGGCATGAGTCAACACAAAGCCTGGGACCGGAACTCGGCAATCCTGAACTCCCTGCATCAGCCGAGGCCCAAAGCACACCTCTGGTGCCAAAGCACCTGCCTCCTTCCCCTGCTCTCAGCAGAAGCTGGGGGGAGCAGCCTTACCTTGTTTGCTTGGATAAGGTGAAAGTTTTTCCCGTGGACCCTAAAGCCATGTTCAAAATTTCTACATTCTTCCTCGCTCCAGGCACAAAGCTCATCTATAGCAGAAAGAAAGAGGAATTGGAGATGTACAGAATCTAGAAAGAGTTGCATGTGCATTGATGTCTGGGGTAGAACCCATGTAAGGGGGGGTTCTCACCTCTGATAACCTTCACGTTGAACCGTAACCTCCGTAGTGCCTCTTCTGCATTGAAGTTGCATTTCACCAGCTCATACAAAGCCTAGGAAACAGAAGGAAATCACTCACAGCATCTACCTGAGCAACATACCACAAACCAGCCTGCTCAAGACTCACGTTTGTCTCATAAAACATATATTTCCCAGGAGCCACCTTGCTGCTAACCCCTGCTTGACCATCAGCAGAGATTATTCCACTTTTTAAGGCACTGGATTACAAACCCCGGGACTGGACAGATGCAGTTCCACCAGCAGCTCTGCAGATTACAGGTGTGCCTTTGTGTTCCTGGAGACTCACTTCCAGAATCTAACCAGGCTAACTTAGAGGAAACACAGCTGCTCTGATATGGTTGACCTGCTGGCTTTTCTAGTCTTCCCATTGGGAGGGTGACTGACCTCCTCACACCGCAGCTGGGCAGTACACCCTCACTTATCTGTGAGGCTGGAGCAGGGGGTCACTAGAATTAGACCTCATTCTGACCTCTGTAGGGTATGTGGCACTGTCAGGCAAGCACCACTTGGGTCTGCATGGGCTGCAGGAGCCACTGAGCTCACCTGTTCGTTGTCCTTCACCACCTCTCCCTCTGGCAGGCTGCTGCCGGACAGCTCGTCCCACTGCCGCTTCACAGCGCGGTACAGGAACTCTTCAACCTCTCTCTCAGGGAGGATGTTTGGGTCCCAAAGCAGCTGATCTTCATTCTCATAGGCTAACAGAAAAAGCACTGAAATAAGATAATCAAACAGAGAATTCTGCTGCTTTTGAGAAATGGTCTGCGTGGACATGCATGGGGGAGACAGAAAAGGGAGGAAACCTTTGCTTGGTACTCCAACCCAGCACTAGAGACGACAACCGTCTCTCAAGGCACTGCATGTTCCCCCCTGATTTTGGAGGCAGATAAGCTCTTTATACCCCTTTTAGGGCCCTCAGAACAGGCTCAGCTCACTTCCATTGCTTCAGAAGAGTTGGCTGACAAAGCTTTTGTTACCGTGTTCTCAAAGATTGTTGCTGTGATTAATTAATCCTGGCAACTAAAGACCCCTTTAGCTTTCTTGTCCAGAAGCTCAAGAAGCTGGCACTTGTACTACACCCATTATTGGGTACAATCTGCAAATCAAGGAACCTCTGTCTACTCTGCAGATATCCCACCAAATAAGAAACAGATCAGCTCCAGGGAGCACTGAATGACAGTAACTCAGGCTACCTAAGGAAGATGTCAGAGAGAATAAATCTGAGTACCTCCAGAAGGACATACCTTCCCTTTGGCTACAGCAGAGACGCCCTCCTCCAAACCTGTCACACCAACCCAGTTCTCACTGAGCTTCACCACTTCTGTACCTGTGTTCCCAGCCCTATTCAATCAGGCTCATTTAAGCCAGCTCAGATGTAGCTGTAAATTTGGGTGTCAGTGCTGAGAGGCACCAAGTCTGGAGACACAGGAGTGGTGATCCAGGGCCAGCAGCCCCACACAAACAAGGCACAAAGAGCAGGCTGTCTTACCTTTTTGCCTGTGCCTGTTTAAGCGGAGGATGGGAACAGTGGCCTGGTACTGAGGTCCAACCATGATCTCCTGAAACACCACCACAGAGAGGCGGGTAAACTGAAATGGAAAATGCTCCGTGCAGACTGCACTTCATGAGTTAGGGACTACACCACCACGAGGCCGATGTATTTACTGGTAGCCCCTGCCGTCACTATTATTTCTAGTGAACCCTGGCTATTTTGTAGAGTAACTAAGAAGGTTTACTACCAACCAGATCATACTACGGTGATCCTTGGCATTTACATAGTTTTAATGTTAAAGATCTGTGGCAAGCAGCTAAGGCTGGAGATAAAGCTTTTTAACGCAAAAGATTTCCTGCAACCTTCACAGCCAGGATGAATTTGGGAGCCTGCTCCTCTCTTTAGTAAGATGGTTCCCTCTCAGTAAATCCTGCTGGGAATATTGCATAGCATTTCACCTTTATAGGGCTACAGGCTGCAGATTTAATTTACTAAGGCACAACAGATTTCCCATATCTGAAGCAGAAGATAATTTCAAGATTGTATTAAAAACCCCTCTTGTGACCCACATCTGCCACTGCCATCCACAAAATGCAAGGCACAGAGCAACAGACTGGGGAAATATTACGGTGCTTTGGTGCCACGCTTTCTTCAAACTCAGGAGCACTGTATGAGCTCCCCTTCCCAATGTGCTCAGGTCATTTACCTTCTTACACTCGTTGGATGGGATGGAATCCACCTCTGAATCCTCAGCCATGGAGGAAGCACATGGAGATGAACAGGGCTCTTTGTCTTCATCAGCAAGGAAGTTGTTTGCTTTGTGGGAGAGGAAAAGATCTGTAGTTATGAATTTTTTTTTCTGTTGCTCTATGTTCCCTCTCCTTCCCTTCATTTTCTGTCCTAACATTCCTTTCAGCATGGTCTGCAGTGACAATTTACCTGTATTTTAATTTTCTCACTTTAAATAAAAGAATTTGTACACTTGCCACTTGGGTGGTGATGGTCAACCTGGGGAACTCAAACTCTTTCATTTTGCAGGATAGGAGAAGGAATAAGATCACTTCCTGCTGAGTCCCTGTCACCTGCTTTGGCTTCCCACATATTCCAACATTTAGGAACTGCCACAATATATCACTCCACTGGTGCTACTGAATTTATTTACTTGTAGCGGTGTCAGAGGAGGTACTGATCTTTCACACTGTAATTACAGCAGGTAGCAAAACAACTCCCACTTTCTCAGTGTTCTGAGTTACAGCTAAAGACAATTCTCCCCTCATGCCACTGCTCATCTACACTCCATGCTGTCCCAACCAACGCCCAGTAACGCCACTGCCATGCAGATTTATGGACAGTCCCCAGAAGGGAAGTGGAAAATCTGTTGTCAGGAAACTGACAAAATAAAGAAAACCATTCTTGCCCTCCCCTGCATTTCCCGACCATCACATGTAAGTGAACAGCAACTACTTAGGAACTATGACACATACAGCCAGGCTGGTTTGGGAATAAGTCCGACGCATCGTGGGACGTGACGGATGGAGTCAGATCGTCAGCTGAGGACTGTGTCTCCTCCTCTTCTTCCCCTGAAAGCAAATCCTTCGCTATTTGTTCCTTTTAACAACAACAAGAAAGTGAAAAATATTTTTAAATTAAGAAAAATATATGAGGGGGAGTGAGGCCTAGAATAAAGTATTTCTAGCCAAGAGTGGCCACATCCAGAGATCTCCTCACCCTCCCACAGCTTGTCCAAAGACAGATTCTCTCTCACATTCCCCACCACACCCAGATTATTTTCCCTAGAAGCACTTTTGCAAGGGTCATGAGTGGCTACCTATGGAAGCCAGAGAGGATGAGCACGGCCCTTTCTGTAGAGCTCCACTCATAGCAAATATCTCAAAGATCCTGAGAGAAAAAAAGAAAAAAGCAATTTCTACAGACTTTAGCCAGAACAGGAGGAGCCATGGCTTCACCTGGGAAAATAGAAACCTTCCCTGGCTCTCCACAGATCCACAACTATGTGCAAAGACTTGCAACCCAAGTTCCATAAAAAGTTTTTACCGAATTCTTTTTAAAACAGATATTCTTTCTCCCGTCTCTAAATGCTTTACATTCATGTTTCTACACATATGGGACACCAGACCTAGGCAGGCCCTTCCCCTGGCATTGGTCAAACCCCTCTGAAAAGAGCTCCTCAGGCCCCTTGAGCTCCAGCACAACACAGTAACCTGCAACAAACACCGAGGCAAACAGCAGCTCTCACCTTATCCAGAGTCATATCAGGGAGATTTGGAGTGATGTCATTGCTCTCACTGTCCTGCTCGGAGATAGGATCAGATGCCTCATAGCCATACAGTGCAAGCAGCTCCTCAAATGGCATTTCACTGCTCTGAGCAAGAGGAGGACAAAGCTGCATCAGGAACAGAACAACCACAAGAGCAGACCACCAGCTGTACGAACACGGACACACGGAGGGAATCAGGGCAGCCTTGGGTAACGCTGCACGACTGAGGCAGGGTCTGTCAGGGCCCACCAAAACCTGTTCCTCTAAAGGTATGGAAAAGCCAGGAACTTTCACCCCAAAGCAATACAGTCTAGGGCATTTTTAAAATACATTTCTCTTTTATATTAGATTTCAAGCTGGTGAAAAGGTGCCAAACTGCACATCTGTATTTAACCAGAGGAAGGGAAGGAGCAAATCCTTGTATTAGTCTTGTGTCTGGCCTGAAGAGACACTCCCTGTCACCAAGAACATGGTTTGTGTTCCACCAAGGTCTCTGTGGGACCACCCACAGCAGCACCATGTCAGCTTATCTCTGTAGCTCCTCCACTGTGAAACACTGACCACAGCCCCAGCAGCTGATGGCTCTTCACCAAGGTGAGCCAGGACCACCTGCCAGAGTAGCTACTTGGCAGAGGAAGGCTTCAAAATTCACTGCTGTCGTGTGTCCTCAAAACCATTCCTTCCTATCCAAATGCAAACCTGACTCATTGCTGGGTGATCTGAGCCCAGTGTGCTGCCAGCTGAGCGAGTCAGGGCTTCTCACCAAGGTTTTTGGTACCAGTACTGTAAAAGCAAACAAGCAAATCCTGCAGGTAATTTCCCTTCCCCTGCTGCCTTTACCTGAGAGGCACTGAAACTCTTCTCCAGCTCTTCTAAAGATTTCTGCTTCTCCTGAGTATCATCGTCCTCCCTTTCTTCCCGTACACCGTAGTTCTGTGAAAGGATCTCTGCCAGGTTCAGTCGATGATCAGCTGAGCCCATTGACACAACTGCAGGAATAAGAATTTGGATACTAGCACCCCACAGACCAAATCTTGAGATGCAACAAAGCCAGGGATGATCCCTTCTTATGTGTGTGCAGACATGATAAACCAGAGGAAGAGATTAGTCAGAACGGAGTGAGGGGGACGGGGAACACAACTGGCAGCAGTCACTCTGCCAGCACAAAGCCTGGTTCTCTGCACATCCGAGTCCCACAACTGACTGGAAGCTGAATCTGAAGGTTTTCTGAGTATTTGTGTCTCTCCTGACTGGATTCACTGGTGTCACAACACGTGAGCACACACTGCAGCTTTTCCTTCATCCAGGCATTTTTAGGGCAATTACCCCTTATTCAAGAATGGGCAAATGGACATCTGTAGGAGCTTTGGCATCTTTAAGCCTTTCCTTCTCTGTCAAATGGTATGAAAATCAACCAACAGGCTCGGGAGGTGCTGGAAGGAGAAGGAAATAGACAGGCTGATCACAGGAACCTTGTTTCCTCTGGAAACTAGACCAACAAACAGAGGCATCTTTGACCTGAGGTACCTGCTGCACTCTGAAGGGCGGGCTCTCCAGGACATAGGCTGCGGGCTGGGTATGGGACCACCCTCGGGCTCTGCCGGCCAACTGAGGCCTTCAGGAAAAGAGAGGAACATGGCTGAGACAGCTCTTCTTAAAAACGCAACACCCCTCCATCCACTCAACCCCACCAACAAATGCAATTAAGTTCAAAGCAAAAGTTACCCAACCCCCTGCAGGACAGTGCTAAGAACTGTGCTGTGCAAAGAGAGCTCATGAGGTGTATTGAACAGTTCTTTCCAGCCTGCTCTCCACTGGCCTCCTCAGCTTCCCCTTAGTCTCTGACTCCATAAGGATGTGCTTCCGTTTCATCCATTTTACCTTCAGCACTCCACTCATTACTTATCCTCTCACCAGTTTAAGACCTGACCTTCATGAGTTACATCTTCCCTTAAAAGAAGGACCTGGACTCTCAGCTGTTATTCTAAACACACACATCATGTCTGAGCACAGCATTTTTAGGGACTGACCCTTCAGAGAGACAGTCCGAAGCAGCCGGCCACAACGTGCTGGCTTCTCCCTAACTCCTCACTGCACCCGGGCGTTCAGGGGGGTGAGCAGACACAGAGCTGAGCAGGCACTGAAGGAGTCTGGTACAGGCAAGGAGGGAGAGGCTGAGCCAGGCAGACACCGCCAACAGGCACCTGCAGTGTGGCATTCAGTGCTCAGTTACAAATTCAGGCAGCAGCATGGGCTGAGGCCTGGAAAACGACCCAGAACATCTGCTGCTCCTTGGGCTGCTGTGCATGGAAGTGCTGTTCATCAAATTCAGCTGAGGTAGGGAGCAAGCAGGTAAATAACCAAAGCTTTTGCGTGACTGAGAGCACTCAACTGTGGAAGAAAATCCCAGTGTCAGTCCCCCAGTCACCAATGACATCTCTGTATGATCCTTAGCCATTAACACTCTTGGCTGTACACCATCACTCCTCACTCACTCAGTGGGAGCCAGGACATCTACAATGCTTCCATACAAGGCTCTTACAACTTACTTAACAAGAAAACAAAGTACAGCTTCACATTAGAATTTATCCTCTAGCAGTAAAGCAAAGTATATATCAAAAAAGCCACAACAGACTGTGGGTTCCAAGTTAGTGCCTTCAGCTATCAACATACAGACTGCAAATTCCGTAACAATGAAGAAGATGCCTCCAGCCCATATGGTGCAGACACTGCGACTCACTGTCCCCAAGTGCCCGATTATTACCAGCAGATAACCCCCCCGGAGACCACTCTGGCTCCAGAGAGAGCCCAGCAACAAGAGGAAGAGTTAGAGGATGATGAAAGGAGAAGGGCACAGAAAGGATTCAGACAGCCTCCATTCTGAGGACGGTTATACCGGGAAATGTCTCCATAACTTGGGGAAGTGTCCATGTGCCTTTGCTGGGCTTTGCTGCAACGTGACCAACTATCCCTGTTGGATAAATCCGTCCAAGCAAGCAACTGTGGTTTCATGGAAAGGGTGTGGTCTACCCTTACTCCCTCTGGTCTTGGGCGATCTGCAGAACTCCCTTTGCTCAGACAATGATCCATCGATCGATGGCACCTCCTTGCCCAGGGATCACTAAGTCACTGCATGCAAAGGCCTCTGAAAACAAGGACTGAAGCTGTTGGCATGGATGGGCTGGCTTGAAAAGGTGTCAAGAATACTTCAGGAATGATGAGATCTCCTATTAATGACCACGTACTGAAATAAAGAGGAACAGCCACTATGACAGTGTGACAATTTGTAACCCATCCCAAGTTTATTTCTCTGAATCAGTAATGGAGCACCAGAACAAACGGGAATGCCATGAGCTGGAGCCACCACAGAATAACCAGCACTGCTGTGCTGGGACTGAGAAAACAAGTGACAGACAAAGCAAATGGCCCCTTCCATGCCCAAATTTAAATCCATGTGAAACTGAACAACCCCTCAGATTACTTACAAATCCAGAAGACCACGGAAACAAGTCAAAGGAATAGGACAGAAAGGTAGGTCTGGCTCAAAAACATAATGATGACAGAAAGAATATTCCTGACTGCACTGACTGCCGATGCCATACAACGTGGAGTTACTTTGTCTGAAGGTAAGTGCAGTCTGACACTTCAGGTGCAAGTGTCACACAGGAGGCGGAAACGCAACAGCATGGCATGAACCAGAAACACACTGAGAGTGGTTCTGGGCCAGGCATCACTGCTCTTACTGCTGGTGATCGATTCAATCACCATGAAAGGTCGCAGCAAGGAACTCCAGTTATTCTGACACTGCACTGTGATCCTGGAAACTGGCTCCTATGCCCATGGGGCATTTAATCTTGAGGGGAAAAAAGAGAAATTAAATTCCTACCATCCCCAGCACCGCTTTCCTCCTGCTAGTTTATGGTGCTCAGGCATAAGAGTAACTTTCCTCTCAGAAGTTACATAGAGCTTGATCAATTACTCACTCTCATGTTTGTATTTCTGGATGACTCCAGCACTCCCTCCCTACCTGTGGACTCAAGGTTTTGAGCACACGGATCAAAGCTCAGTCCTGGTTTAGGAAACATGGGCAGAGGCAGAGTCTGAGCTTTCTGCACTGACAAAACCATTTTCCAGTGCAAGGCCAATTGTGCTTCCCCAGAGAAAACCCTCCAGGCTGAAACCACTCCTGAAAAAAATGAGGAAAAAGAGGTTTCTCTTTCCATTGTTACTCCTTAATAACTAATGTGGTTTCCTGAGCCCGTCTAACACGTATTTCAAACTCAGTGAGAAGCATTCCTGGTTCCTTTGCCTTGTCCACACTCCTTGACATGGGGCCATTTTCTACAAACTCGAGCTGTAGCCAGAGAGAAGCAGCACAGATGGAACCAGATTCGTCCTGCAAGTTATGCATCTGAAAGAGCAAAGAATGAACAGATGACACGACACACAGGCCACCTCCCGCACTGCTCAGGAAGATCAGGGTCCCAGTCAGTGGCCCCAGTCAGGGCCCTGCACAGTGTCACAGCAGAGATGCCCCACAGCCAAACCTCACCAGTGACAGCTCCTGGATGTCCCCAGGACAGACCTGTGTGAGCCACAGAGGTGGAAGGTGCTGGGGCAGCACTTCGGCCCAACAACGTGCCCAAGTAACACTGGCACAAACAAATGCAGCAGCCTTAGTGCTCCACCAAAGGCCAAACTGTGGTGGATGAGCTGACAGACCAGACACCACCTTCCTCATTCATAACACTGAAATATCCTGGAAATGAAGCCCTGCCCCCAGAGAGATTCAAAATCCTGCCACAGAGCAGCCAGCTACCTCAATGTCTTCCCAGTACCCTTATTCCATGTCATGGTCACCATGAGGGTATCACGGTGGAAACGAAGTGTGGATGTGTCACAACAACCACTACAACAGGTCAAGGATATTTGAGGAACACGACAAGGCTCGATGAAGAATGGCATCACCAGCTCTAAGTGTGGCAGAACAACGTCAGAAACGTTTTGGAACAAGGCACCAAGACAAACACGATGTGGCAACAGGGGAGGCAGTGGGGGGTCCCTGCCTGGCCCCCTCATCGAGGTGGTGAGGACCATCCTGGCCACCCAGACCAACCGTTCCCACCACCCTTCCCAGCGCTCTGCCCCTACAACGGCCCCGACCTCCGTGCTCTCCCACTGCCCGGGCCTCTCTCGCTTCCAGGCTCCGCGAGCCCTTCCGAACAGCTTCGCACTCCCGATCCCGGCTCCAGCCACCCCACACCACCGCTGTCGGGCCCTGCTGGACCACAGCCTCGGGGCTCCCGCTCCGCCCCGACGCCTTCCCGTCCGCCTTCTCCGCCCCGCGGTCCCGCAGCCCCCGGCCCGGAGACCCCTCCAGCGCCTCTCCCCGGCCCCTCTCCCGCGGGTCAGGCCGCGGGGCTCCCGCCCCGCCGCCGCTCGCCCCGTCTCTCCGCCGAGTCCCGCCCAGCAGCCCCTTCCCCTGCCCGCTCCCGCCCGCGCCCCCCGCTCGGCCCCAGCGCCCGTCCGCCCCAGCCCGCCCCCGCATCTCGGCCCGCGGCCGCCCGGGGCCTCGGCGTCCCGAGGGACCCCGCCCCGCCCCATCACCCCGCGCCGCGGCCGTAGGACCCCGGCCCCGGGCGGGCGCGGCTCGGGGGCCCGGGGGTCGCGG